CCCCCCCCCCCCCCCCGTGGATTGCCAGAAAGAGTTAGTGGAACTCCCAGGTATCCCTGTCCTGAATAAAAGGAAATATTAAATTGCTGTTTCCTGTATCAACGATAACCTATTTACTCAACTCCCAAAATGGATTATCTTAGAGCCATTCTCCTGAAATAACTTTCCTGTCTACTTGAACAATGAATTCACACTTCACCCACATATGAAAACAGAAGGGATTCAGCACTCTTGACTTCTGTTTTCTTGAACTTCAGGTAGTCTCAAGTTTTTTAAATAAGTGCAAGGATGAAAAAGAATGGAATTAGACACAAAGACTCCTTAAAAAAAAAAGAGAGGTGTAAGTTGGACAAAAGGAAAAGGTAGCAAGGTTCATGCTAACCCTAATGTGAGCCATCCTTTGTGTGTTCCTCTCAGGTCAACTTCTACTGAACACTTCTGAAAGTTTTCAGTTATTTAAATAAATAAGTAAATAAACAATTCTATGCTTGATAGAATTTCCAACAGGCAAAGATTTTCTTATGACACTGAAAAAATGAAGAAATGCAAATCTGAATGCCTCCAACTAGCATCTTTTTTCCCAATTACATATAAAACATATTTCAAACTTTTCAGAAAAAGTCTCTCAGGTCCCTCCAGCTGTATAAGAACTCAACCATGGTACTCAATAATGGAATAAACTGTTCTCTATGACAGTGTTTCTCAACTGTGGCAACTTTAAGTTATCTGGACTTCAATTCCCAGAATTCCCCAGCCAGTATGTTGCCAAGGTTGAGAAACACTGGTCTATGAACTTGATGAGTACTGGCTTGGAGAGAGATTATTTTACTCTTTCTTGCATCTTCTACATAGCACTGGGAACATAGGTCAGCTAGCACAATCATACAGAACTTAGCCAGCATGGTTAATAAGGAGGCATGCTAGGAATTATTGTTCAGCAACCTCTGGATGACCACACTTTTCCCATTTTGCTATTTCATGTCAAATAAAAAAGAAGCCTGTTTTATCTGTAAATTGAATGTACACCATTACTTTCTATTAAAATAAAACAATGAGACATAAATCAACTTTCAGCCAGATACCCAAGAAATGCTATTGGTTTGATAGTACTTACAGAACTGAGGCTTAAGAGGGTAAACACAACTACACCACCATATTAATATTTCTATCCTGAGCAACCAGTCACATTGATCACCAAGAAGCTATTCAATCAAAAACAAGGAATGGTCTGGAAATACAGGTAGTCCTCAGGTTACAACAGCAACTGGGACCGGGACTGCCATTGCTAAATGATGCGGTCGTAAAGCACGATGTCATGTGACTGCATCACTTAGTGACAACAATCCCGGCAGTCCCAGTTGCCATCATAAACCCAAGACATGCAGGTTGTTAAGTGGGAAGTGCTTGGAATTCCAGGTTAGGAGCACGGGGATGCCACAGGGGGATGGGAGAGGTCCTGGGAGGCCTTATGCAGGCGGTGTGGGAGTACAGGGAGGCTGGGGGAAGGAGGCTGCAGGTATGAGGCTGCGGCACAAACACAGGAAAGCCAGTAAGCGAGTTGTCACCAAGCGAGGACTATCTGTAAGCAGAATGTAATCAGGAACTGCATTTGATGGGAATTAGAATTCCATTCTTCAAGTAGCATCATTGGAAAAAGCTCTGCTTTGATGATTTGTTGGATTGATGCAGCTCTCAGCCAACCAAGCACCAAAATTCAGTCAGATTATTTAAACAGTCTATAGACCATAACAACATACAATATTATTTTAAAATCCAAAATTATATAACTTTCTTAATTATAACCCTCAATGCCCTTATATGAATTAACATCAATTTGCTTCCTTATCCAAGTAACACCAGATAGAAACTTTGCTAAAGTCACTTTAGGAATCTGATCACAGATAAAATATTTAACATAAAATCGATTTGAATGTCCAGGGAAGATGTTAAAAATATGATTTACTGATCTGCATTATTCCAATATATTAAATTTTGAGAAACTGTCAAAAAAATCAGTAGGTGTTTCATAGAAGTATACAAATTTAATTCAAATCACAGCTCTAGCTAAAACTGTGTTGTTACTACTGTTATGTCTATATCGCTCTTGTTCTCAGAGAAAACCAAAACAGTTTACAGGAGAAGAATAAAAACAATTAACACTGAGGGTCTGCCACTGAGAAGGCTCTCCTCCTGTAAACCACACCAACCAATCAGATCACAAGTGGTGGGCCTAACTCTCCCCACCCAATCTTAGTGCACAACTCCAACAGTATTGGGGCCTGCAGTGTTATGTATACCATTTAATCATGCCACTTAAGAATATGACAACCACATTTTATTGTTGTTTATTATTAGATTTATATCCCATCTTTTATAAGAGAAGCTCAATGCTTCTCCCCCTATATATCCCCACAACAACCATGGGGGGTAGGTTGGGCTGAGAGAGAGTGTCATCCAGTGAGATTCTATGGCTGAAGAGGGACTAGAACCAGCATCTCCGTGCTTCCCTAAAGCAGCCCAACACTTTAACTACTATACCAGCTTGGCTCTCATCCTGTTCCAGCTGCAGTTTCTGGACTGCTTTCCTAAAGTAATCTAACTGTGAGGCTATTAGAGAATAGCTATGCTATCCTGGTCCAGATAGACCTGTAGTGAGTGCACTGGCCACAGGGCGCAAGCACTTCTTGTCCCTAAGGCCACCTATGTTTCTTTTTCCTTTGGCAGAAGTGCTACCTCTTCTAGGAGAGATTAATTCCCAGGCCTGAGCACCACCTAACCTGGATATAACTACATTTCTTTGGATCCCATTTATTCCAGGCAACTGCTAAACATCTGCATAGCCTCTCTCAATTCTGGTGGAAACCAATGATAGGTTAAGGGTTATCAGCCAAGTGACCGCTGATCTCCAATGACAGACCAGCTGGGGCAACGTAAAACCCTGTGTGACACCCCCCCCCCCCAATGCAACTGCTCTTGGGTTATGGATTTGCAAGTAAGAATGGAAACATTGCAACTTGTATCTCTCCAATTTTCAACTTTTAGAGCCATTCCATCAATATAAATGAAGAAGGCATGGGAAAATCACTATGAATCAACACAATAGTACTCTACTTGTCTTTTTCTCATTAATCCTGCAAGACAGACTAAGATTAATCTCAATTATTTAATTTAATCTTAAATGTTAGTTTCAAAATGAATTCCTCAGAGAATGATTACTCACCGGACTCTTGCAAATATCTATATACGAGGAAGTTAACCTCATCACTGCTTATACTCATCTTTATGCCCGCTTAAACCATGAGGTCACGATGAAGGATATAACCCTAAAAAATATATAAAATGCAGGTGGTTAGAAACAGGCAGAGAAATAACTGAGTTTTTGTCCAGAAAACTGATACACGGAACATAATGTAGTTGTGCCTAAAAAGGGACCTTTTTCAAGTCTAATAAGAGAATAGTTGGGAAGCATCCAGGTAATATTCATGCACAAAAAAGAAAAATAAAACAAAACAATTATCTGCGCCAGCTGTGTTCTTTCTTCACTGAAAGATTACAAGCATACCAATATCCATTAATAAGAGATGAATCTGTGCTCTGTAATCCATTGAAAAAGCTTCACAATACATATATGAGGGGCCGACAACATAATATCCATAAATGCCTGGGCATCTGGAACATCCCTAGTCCTTCCAAAATGTTGCTGTTGATGATGATGATAATTTGAGCAAAATCTCATCAGATTTAGAACAAGACTTCAGGAGTAAGATTGCTGAAATCCTGCAAAGTTCTTAGAGGATTTGGGACAGCTTAAAAAAAAATAAAAATAAATAAAAGTATGTCTGTGTCCATGTCACCATGTGAACTGTGCAACAGAAATCTGCTGCTCACAAACAAAGATATACATAAAGTAATTGTTGAAAGGGTGCATTACAAAAGTATGTTTGGAGGATGTTTCTAATCAGTCTTTGGAGGAACGGACAAATAGGTCAATATATGAAAACTGCTGCAATGGAAATAATCCAGTCTCATACCTGTACTGCAGGCACTGCATTAGCTTTCAATAAGTTTCTCAGTACAACTCAAGGTGCTAGTTTTCACTTACAAAGCCCTAGATAGCTAGGCTTCCAAGTATCTCCTAGATCACCTTCTCCAGCTGGGACTGACCTAACCAGTGCATTTATCCTGGGTGGAAATTTTCACCATTCCCTCCACACCTAAGGCTAAGTGTGAAGTGCTGCTGAAGACACTGTCTCTCCTTGGTGGTACTAACACTGTGTAACAGCCTCCCAGAGAGGCAAAGCTTTCACCAATCCTGCTATCTTCCCAAGAAGGTGGCTAAAACAGAACACTTTCAAAAGACCCTCAAGTCCCAATTTGCTGCCATGTAGGAGGCTTTAGCCACCATCATCACTACTATGATTCTACAAATATTACTGCTTTATTCATGTTATATGTAGATTCAATCTTACTGGATCTCTGGTTTGATTTCTACTGTAAACTGCTGTGAATTGGTTCAATTAAATGGCATACAAGTATAATAAATAAATATTGAGTTCTACAAGAAAAAGAGGTTGAGTGGATAAGTGAAAGAGTTAGAGTACAAGTGTGGGAGAGAGAAAAACAAGCAGGGACAATACGCCTGGTTTCCTAGCAGTTTACAGGTTGCTTACATCGTATGTGTACATGTATACATACAATATACATGTGCATACTTGGGAGATCCTAACAATGATTTGTCCAGCTTGGTGGCAGTATCTAGCCTATCTTGCCTGATCTTGAAATGCTAAGCAGGACCTGGTTCATACATGGATGGGAAACTACAAGGAAATTCCAATATTTGGGACTAGAATGGTTAATCAAAATAAGATCCCAGAAGAAGGTAGTGACAAAGCACTTCTGTTCTATTGCCAAGAATCCTATGTGGCTATGCCCGTGCCCATGAAGTCACTAGAACTTTATGTAGTTTGCAAGGTTGGTGTTTTTAAACATAACTGAAACAGAATATAAGTTTGATTTAAAATGAAACTAGTCTTTAAAAAACTAGAGTTTTTTAAAGCCCCCCAAAAGGGGGGAAGGGAAAGGAATCAACAAAACCAAGAGGTGTAACTCAAATGCACTGAAGGAGATGCTCTAGTTGATGTATGGGAGTAGTTGTTTATTCATCAAAGATTAGATTCCAAGTGGTGGGCTAGGGATTTGGGAGAAATCAACATTTTAAAATCGATAACTGTCTGTAGTTAGTAAGCGGAAATGACACTCAACTAATAAATAAATAAATAAACAAAATCTGCAAAATGATTGTTAAAACATTTAGTCATAGGATTTTTGTTCTTTTAGTATACGTGGGGGGCATTTTATTTACTGTAATGGTTTTAAAAAAGGTTAATAATGCCACCATTCATGGAGCCTAAGTAACAAAGGTGGATCAAAGTGTTCTCTTCCAAAAGGATAAAAGGAACTGGAGAAAAAATAAAACCCAGACATGAACGTACACGATAAGAGGTTTCCATCCAAATGGACATGAGAGGGCAGTATGACACAAGTATTTGAAACAGCCAACAGTGAATGACAAATCAAAGGAAGCTTGTGAAGTAACTGGGGATTTTTTTTTCTTCCAGTGAGAGCATCACAGAGCAACTTGATTAGAAAAGCCTAATCTACAGGTACTGATTATTTCAAGGGACATCCAAAATAAACATGCCTCCCTTTGTCCACTGTGATCGCTTCATCTTTTACATGCCTGAAGCAGTAAAGCACAGCAGAAATGCTTGCTTTACCACAAGGTACATCCCCTGGATTCCAGCCTTAATTAAAATCTTATCCAAATGTTGCCTCTAATTTTGGCCAAGGGAGGAGACTCAAGATCCTTCACAAAGAACAAAAAGACCAGCCCAGAAATGTCAGTCATATAAAATGTGTTGTTTCAGGAATAGAAACCCCCACGTGGCACCCTGGACAGCAAGAAACCCAGAGACGCCTCTCTTGATGCCAGCTCCACTCTAGTTCTTTAAAGACTAGTTTAATTTTAAACCAAACTTTAAAAAGAAGCTGGCATGCCTTAACATAAGGCATTAGCTTCAGAATCAGCTTTATTTTCAATGGTCTTGGATTCCAGAGATTCCATAAGCTAGCTTCCCCCCCTCCCCAGGCTGAGGGGGATCCAGACTCTGCAAAAAAGTGGGCATATCCAGAATAAACAAATGGACAACCCCCTCCGGGACATTTAATTTAATTTAATTTAATTAATAAAATATAGTTCACATATAATTGCCCGTAATTTTCCCCTTCTTAAAAAAATGCTGGAATTCAAAGGAGGGAGAGCCTAGGGCTCTGACTTTTAGATTATGCACTGTTGTTGTAAACATTCTTAGAAAATAAAAGTGGTAAGCACTGTAGCCCAGTGCTTTGTTTATAAGGATACCTACTTGCCTAGAAAATAATTTTAAAAACATGCTTGATTGTTCATTCTTAGAAAATAAAAGTGGTAAGCACTGTAGCCCAGTGCTTTGTTTATAAGGATACCTACTTGCCTAGAAAATAATTTTAAAAACATGCTTGATTGTTCATTCTTAGAAAATAAAAGTGGTAAGCACTGTAGCCCAGTGCTTTGTTTATAAGGATACCTACTTGCCTAGAAAATAATTTTAAAAACATGCTTGATTGTTCATTCTTAGAAAATAAAAGTGGTAAGCACTGTAGCCCAGTGCTTTGTTTATAAGGATACCTACTTGCCTAGAAAATAATTTTAAAAACATGCTTGATTGTTCATTCTTAGAAAATAAAAGTGGTAAGCACTGTAGCCCAGTGCTTTGTTTATAAGGATACCTACTTGCCTAGAAAATAATTTTAAAAACATGCTTGATTGTTCATTCTTAGAAAATAAAAGTGGTAAGCACTGTAGCCCAGTGCTTTGTTTATAAGGATACCTACTTGCCTAGAAAATAATTTTAAAATCATGCTTGATTGTTAGGATGCATCCAGGCAAAATAGAAAGGGAGGCAAGGAACAGTTTGCCATCAGTAACTAGTGTTTGTGGCTGGCAGCCATTTTGTGAATGGGCAAAGCCACCATGGCAGCCATTTTGAGGATGGGCATGTCCATGCCTACGCCAGCCAGGTTTTTCTTCTTTAAAGTGCCTACAATTTACAGTGTCAAAATGTCAAATGTGCCCCCAGCCCAACCATTTGAGATCAGTGCCTCAGGAACTTTCCGGACTGGTGCTCTCTTAGACCACCTTTCCCTTTCCACTCTGGAATTTATGCCTATAATTTTCACCAGAAAGCATCTTGCAGCTTATGCTCATTGCAGAAATGATTTGTAGCCTTCAGCCAGCCAGAGATTGGCTATGCCTAATTTTGGGTCATGTCACAATCTGATTATTTAATGTGTTGAATAAAGGCTTTCCCACATACCATCACAAAATCACAACCATCCAAAAATCTGATCAGGTAGAAGAAATGCCAGAACACAAAGTAACTAAATCCTAATTAAAAAGGGATGTTTAGTTCTTACATTACTCTTTCAAAGTGGATCTTGAACATACGTTCTCTCTTCTGGAATGCCATGTTGCAATAAAGGTCTTAAAAAGGAGAAGCAGCTGCTACACTTATCATAACTGTCCTATTAAGATTCACCTCTGGATTTCAGCCACTTCTTGCAAAACTAAGAAAGTCCAAGCAATGCAATCCAATTGTGACAACATACTCTTGCTTTCCATGGTGTTTATCTGATACTAAAATTTCCCAAGAGAATTTTTTTAAGGAACCACCAAAGAGCAGACAAGAATGAGACTGTGTGGTCTGGTTGGTGAGAAAAGAGAAAATGGCACAATTAGGAAATACACCTCCCAAATGCCTTTATATAAGAATTAGAGTTGGTCTCTCCCTTGCTTCTCCTCAATGGGGCTTTGATTTACATGGCCTGCCCGCTTGCTCTTCATTGCTGTTGGATTATAAATAAGCCCCTGTGTTTACCCAGCCAGGGCCTAACCTCTGCCAAAAATGCCTTTCCCTTCTCCCTCCCAGTTTTTGTTGGTATGAATCAGGTTCTACTGTACTCAGACTGCAGCAAGAGTCAAAGGGAGACCAGTGTTTGGGTAAACAATGTACAAGTCTTGGTGCTAATGAGCTTGCAGGGGCACAGAATGGGTTCAAATTCCATGCCTCCTATGTGGAGACTGTCAAACCACACATACTGGAATGATTGTACTTGGAACATGATTGTACAGGGTCCATGCACACACACACTCCCTTTCTAAAACATTCAGCTCAGTAGGCACTATGAAAAATGTTTAAGGATTTATACAGGAATCTTCTTGTAACCA